GTTTGCAAAAGAATCCTGTATCTACCGTGTAATCAGAAGAAAGAAACTAGTCAAGCTTAGCTTTCATACTTGTAACAAACAGTTTACTAATGTGTATGCTGAAGTCTCAAGTTTCAGTAAATTGCCTGGCTCAGGGGCCTTTGCTGAGTTGTTTTTTTTTTTGTGTGTATTTTCAAGTAATAATGTGTTCTATTTCACTGTGCTTTTGTGTGTAAGTGAAGTGCACTCTTGATTTTTATGCTTGTAAAGAATTGTACATGATCTTAAAGATCATTTGCAGAATGAAATATTTCCAGGATCTCTATTATTCCAATAGTGTGAATAATAATAGCTCTATTTTAATGAAAAGAAAAAAAAAGGTCATTGTTAGATCTGAGTTTAGCTCTTCCCTTTTTTTCTTGAGAGTAAAAACAATCAGGCATGTGATGTTCCTGCTTGATGATCTGATACTGATACAATGGTATTGCTAAAGTAATTGGATAATATGATTTTCTTAAAAGCATGAAACAGCTTTATCTCAGGTATGTCCGTCTTAATGCCATTAATCCTCTAAGGCAGCAGATACTGTACATATGCACTTGAGTGCAGTATAGTACGTGATCCTGCAAGACATAATAGTGGTGATTCAAACAAAATAATAGCTTGTGGGGAAAATCTGTGCAGACCTCCTGACTGAAAAAAATAGAGAGATGGAGGTTCACATAGACCTTTTTCCCAGCATTTTCCAAACCAACAGAAGGAAACACACTACAGAGTGTTCAGTACCGTATGTATAGAAAATGACTGCATGAAATAATGCGATCAATTTTATTTTCACAGTTTGTGGTTTTGAGAAGGCTTTATGTTTTATTTTTTTTCCATGATAGGAAGCACTGTATGTGACAGTAAATTGCATTGTCTGCATGAGTTGTTTCAGCCATTTCTTTTAGGAACCAGAGAAAGCTCTCTGAAAATCAGGTCACTTCTTTTAGTAGATATTGCTTGAGGTATTTGACTCTAGGCACAGAAATATTAAAATGTAGACATTATTGTATCTGGCTGTACTTTTAAAACAGCAAAATAGGTACAATGAAAGGAAATGCTAAGCCCTAAGACTTGTTTGTCTTACTCAGATAATACAGACAGTGCCCTGAGATCCTTTTGTGAAAAGTATTACAACTGTTAATAGCCAAAGCAAAAATATACTACTTCTAAAGTAGTGCTGCAATTGCTGTCTACAAGTTACATGATGTCTTACTGATCTCTCCTACTCCAATTTCTTAAATCAGGGTTTATGACTCTTCTAAAAATGAAGTAAGATAAAAGGGAACTGGACCCAAATTTCTTTCCCTACTATTCTCTTAAATACTGAAACCTTCCTGAAAAGAAAAAGGAGAGGGGAAAAAAAAAAAAAAGGAGTCCCACTCAGCCTTAAATATCTGCAAGAAAACTGGTCAAATTGTTTAACTAAAATAGCCTTTTAACAAATATCCATTATGTTCTTCCAGTTCAGCTATGTCTAGGCAGCCAAGAGAATTCGTACAAGCACTCTGACTTCCTCAAAGTGGTAACTGAAAGTAGAAGCATATCTGGGTTGATATTTTAGTCAGGTCTCTGAATCTGGATGTTTTTCCTAACCATAACCGTAGACATCCTTTTCTCTTTGGCTTGTACAGGGTTTACCCTTAAAACCATAATATGGTAATGGAACTTGGATTGCATTTATATTATTTCCTTTGAGTTTGGGCATGAAAGTAACTTCCAGCACAAAAAAACACCCAGTAGGTTTGTGGCACTCCCTGAGACTGCTTTGTTCCTGGTGTGTATGTGACCAGCTTTCTATTTCTTCTAGAGTGTTTAAAAGGTGGAAGAACTGCTAAGAAGTTAGCATGCTGGTTTTCAGTGGTTGCTCATTTCATGGACAGAGCAGAGCTCAAACTGGAAATTTTCTTCCAATCGCATCTTATGTCGTGAAGCTAGAGCGATGCATACAAAGCGTATCATGGCACACAGTGTTTGTGTGAATAAATAGGAAGTTTTGTGCAAAATTCATTGCAACCAGATTTAAAAAACTAGCCTATTGTATCTAAATTATTTTGAGAAGTTCTGGGATAAAAAAGGTGTTGTACTTATGTGTGGACTTACTCATAACAGAACTTAAGAATTCCAGGGGTTTGGTGCCTACAGCAACTATAGCTCATCACTTGTCACCTATAAACTACAGCATTACATCTGACAGTATGTCTGTTATTTTGTCAAATCACAAGTGTTCAACTTGACCGAACTATAGGTGCTGTATGAGCATTGTAACTTTAACACCCTTAACTTTTTCTCAAAGACACCAACTTTAACATTATACTAACATATCCGATTTAGTGCATGAAAAAAAATAATTCACTAATTTATTTTCATGAGAAAAAGCACCGATCTTTAACTAGTTAAAGTATGATGAATAAAATATTAAACAGATTATAGTGCATGTCCTCAGAGAATTTACAGGTTTCCTACATAATACGACTTAGCTGTCTAGTATCTGCCTGAAAACTTATTGCAAATACACTTTTTAAGGAGTTTTAAACTCCTGACCAAAGGCCTGAGCATGTCATCAAAATGTCATCAGAGCTTGATTTTACTAAGCGTGTGTTAACTTCTTTTTTGTATGTCAGTGATTTGAAAAGTTGAGGTTTTAAAGCTGAGAAGCAGGAGCTGTAGGTTCCAAAATATGTGTGAGAAGTGGTATGAATATAGAATTGTATTTCCACTGTTTGATGATGCTGTTGGCCTAGAGCCATTGCAAGGATGAAAGATGAAAAAAGTATTATCCTCTGTCATAAATGGCTACAGGAGGAGTATAAAATTCTCCATACTCTTCTATGTCACAAATGGAATCAAACCCACTACCAAATACTATCTTCATTTGTATACAGACGTATACACACCAAGAAAGCATTAACTTTCCAGATCTGAGGTCTAAGCATAAACTTAGAAACCATGGAATTGGAGCTGCTTTTTGTTTGCTTGTTTGTTTGTTCGTTCATTATTTTCTTTATTGCACACAGAAGTTTGTCAGAGTCCCATATTCAGTGGGTTCTGTTATTACTCTCAGTCTGTAATAATGCAGTTCTTAGAGTCCTAACCTTTTCTAGAAGAAAATTTTAAGTGTTTTAAGTGTATTTCTTCAATTACTTTCTATAGATACATGAAGTAGAATACAATGCCAGGACTAAATCTTGAGTCCTCTGAGGAAAATGCCAAAGCTTCAAGTGAGTTTACCAAACCCAGACTTAACCAAGAGAGAGGACTTAGACTGAGTACAAGAGCAAACTACTTGCTTGAGCCATGAAGTTCAAGGAAGGATCTAAATCATGATGCAGTAAAAAGAAGAGTAAATGAAAGAAGAAAGTTGGCAAGGTCTTGGGTTTGAAATCAGCGGGAAACAAAACAGTGACATGATTTATGAATAGTTTGGTTAATTAATTGTGATTAACAATAAGTCCATGAATGCTTAGAACCATTAAATATCTCTATTTCATTTGTGTAGCACAGTGAGTTTTTGGATTACAGTTTATATCATTGTAGATGGATAAAATGCCATAAAAATTTGACCTACATTGACAGTAACGTTTGAAAGGCCTTAAAGCATCTGGACTAAAGTTTGTAGTGGGAATCAACAGCTAAGCTGTTAGCAAACAATCCAGTGTTTCAGTTTTGGTTCTGTAAACAAGCTGGCATGTAAATACTATGGCTGTAGTCTGTGAAGCATTGGATACACAAGATATTCAGCAGAAGATAGATGTTGTTGAAGAACAAAATTTCCATAGAAAAGAGGCACTCCATAATTATTCTTGTAGATGATATTATTCATACGCTGCAGGACAAATTTGAGCAACTTAGATATGAGACTCCTTTTTTAATATGGCTTGTACGGGTTTTTGAGCATTGTAGCTACAGCTTGCTTTGGAGAGTGATTCACTAAAAATCAGAAAAATAGCAATCTGAAAGTTCTCAACTACTTTTATTTAAATCAAACACAAAATATGTGTAACTAAAAAGCTTTTTTGCAGTTTCACCTTTGTTATAAAAATATGCTTTCTGAAAAATAACTTTAGAACAACTCCCTCAAGGACCCTTCTCCACTGCATGTTGTTTCTGCTGTTACATGAAGGAGAAGGGTGTTCGTTTACAATGGCCAGAAGCTCCAAGAGCAGAGGAGAGGAGAGGGTGGGTAGGCAAGAGCACTGTGCTCTTGGGCTGTCCTCTTGCTATGTACCAAAATCTCATGAACGCACATTCCCAGTGTTCTAGATTTCTGGTGCAAGGAATGTATAGCACTTACTTCAGATCAAGAGAAATAATGTACATCAAGAAGAAAAAGAAGGGAATAGAGTTGTATGACTCAGACACTCAGGCTAACATAATTCAAAAGGAGGATCCCTGCAAGCTGGGAGGTGTTCGGTGGTGCTAATTATGCTATAGAAGCAATAATAGTATAATTTCACACTTGCAAACCTACTTTTGTGATGATTAGTGCATAGCTCCACTAATCTGTCTTGAACCAAAGTCATCTTGGTCTGTGTAGCAGTGCACACTCTGTTTGAAAAAACTATGATATAGAGGTTTGTATTTAATCTTTTCTGCCTCACCAGAGGTGTTTGATTTGTTAAGCTAAACTAAATACCCTGATCTGGTTTGCAAATACTTCTAATGAAAACCACTAAAAAAACAGGTTTGTCCAGCACGGTATTAGACCTAACTGAGGCTTCTGTGTTGGCACGTTAGCTAGAACTTCCCAGATAAGTAGCGGAAAATAGCAAATAACTCCGGAGATGCTTGTGACTATGCAGGGGGAGAAGTGGGCCTCCACTGCAAGGAGCAACCCATGGCCAAATGGGGTTAAGAATAGACCCTTGGCCATGAGAGGTTTTGTTATGTCTCTGTTGTGGCTTAGCACGTTCAAATCTTGCTGTGCAATTACATCAGGGAGGGACGTATTAATAAGAGAATTGTGTTTATCACTTTAGGTCCCTCAAGATGAATGGACTGGATACACTCCACGAGGGAAAGATGATGAGATTCCCTGCCGACGAATGCGTAGTGGCAGTTACATCAAAGCCATGGGGGATGATGACAGTGGAGACTCAGACACAAGTCCAAAGCCATCTCCAAAGATCGCTGCACGGAGAGAGAGCTATCTCAAGGCCACCCAGCCATCCCTCACAGAGCTCACCACCCTCAAGTAAGTCAGTGCTCTACTACGTCATATAGAGTTCTCCATTAAGACGTGCAGTTTCTGTTGCTATTTGTTTCTATTCTTTGCTTCTGGGTACCAATTAAGGAAAGTATTTACTTAAGAATGTTTGATCATGCTTATTTTCGGTTGGGATTTTTTTTTTTTCTGAGCAAGAGTAGATTTAGGAATGCATTTCAATGTTATTCTGAAGAGAGACCCTACTACCTGTGCTTTGAATTTGCAAAGTATTTCAACCTTCCAGTGTTATGTGAGTATTCAGGTATGTACAATAGATCTGTTCTTTAAATATTTTGCTGAATTATAGTTTTGACCTGCAAAAGCTTTGCATGATTGTGTATTTATTTATATACAACATGTGAAATTAGCCCTAAACTAGTCTTTGCAACTCAACAAAGAACATCTGACATTTAATTTAAAAGAACAATGACTGTCTGTAAACAAGCAAATCCATCATTTCCACTCTTTACTTCACTCAGTTGCCATGTATTTTGTGGAGAAATAGAACCAAAACTGGGAGGAGAAGGAGCAAATCACGTATGGAAGTTAAGAGGAATTATGGTTGGGTTTTTTTGTTGTTTTTTTTTTTAAATGTCAGTTTGTGTTGGTTTTATTTGGGCCTTTTAAAAGAGCCACCTGAATTCTCATGAAAGTTACACAAATGGATAATTTTGGTTTTAGTGTTGTACTCTGACTCTAAAATGGAGAGGTCCCCTATAGCAAAAGAATAAATTATATCCATAAAAGAAAGTAGTGTGAATTTAAATCAGTGGTTGTTTCTGTCTGTCTTCTGCAAAATTCATAGCTATAATAGTGAATCATAGTTCACAGAACCAAAAATAACTTGATTTTAGTATAACTTGCCTAAGGCTATAGTTTTAAAATGAAGAAAAAATAAAAAGGCGCTGTATCTCTCTTCTAGTATGTGTGATTAGTGACAAAAAATTCCTTATGCATTACCCTCATTAATTTCCTCTCCTTCCTTCCTTGTCCTTCTCTACCCCATTTTTTCCCAGATATCTTATCTGAAAAATAGATTTTAGAGAGAAGTGTTTGATCCTTGTAAAGAATGTCATGCTGTTGACATCAGTGATGAATAGACCAGCAGGAGAAAAAAAAAGCAGACTTATTGCAACTCCCCATAACAGCCTGCTTGACTTTGTCTCAGGGGAAGCTATAAATTGTTTCTGTTCTGTCTTTCCATTAGTGTCCAAAGGAGAGGGCAGTCTCATTTTCTACAGGGATTTTCATAAGCTAGATGGTGCTTGCTCAAGGGATCCAATGATTCCTCTCATCATCCAGCAGACTTTACTGCATCCTTTCCTGAGCCAAAACTCCTCCTCTGAGATCAGTTATTACATCCTCTGCAAGGTGAACATGAATGTTATGTACCATCACAAACTCCATAAAGCCACACTTTATGCATGGACACACTGTCAGGCACAGAGTTTATTCTTTCTGAGACTTTAGAAACATATGTTCCGTATTTCTGTAATAGATATGTGAAGTACAATCTATCGCAGTGAGTTTATTTGCTCTTGGTCATTCCTGTTCTCTGTAAAAATAATATTTTCAAAAGAATATCAAATTATTATTGAAAATAAAAAGTCCTGCATGTCACTGTTCACCCACAGAGGATGCTAGATCAGAGGGCTTTGGCAGCAGAAGCTTTTTGAGTTTGGCTTTGAAGTCATTGTTATTCATCAAAGTGCTTGTACAAATACTTCATTTTATATATTTTTTTTTAATTCCTTCCTATTGGGAAAGCTCTTAGGAATGTGTTTGATTTTAAGCTGTGCTCTGTAAAATTCATGTACGTTTTGAAGCTATGCAGAAGTAGAATGTAAATCACTGGGTAGGGGAAGGAAGGAGAAAAATGATAAATGGTAGCAAAACACAAAAGAGGACAAAATATGAGATAACTTTTCTTTTTTAATGACTTTTCATCAAGAATTGGGATGAAGTAGAAGTATTTGTTTTAATCCATGATGATACTTCGTGGAAATATTTCTTCCTCGGAAACCTTTCCACTTTCAGAGACAAATTGTATAATATATAATTATGCATTGATTTTATTCTTTTCTGATGAACATTGTAATTTGGGGTTTTTTTGGTGAGAACTAGCCAAGTACTTGCTCTGGGAATTGAAGGCTTCTGTTAAGCTCATTCTTTTTTGCAGACTTCTTCATACTTCCTTAGTTGCATGAATTGACCTTGACCATGACATTGCTTGTTCATCCCAGGGCTACCTTGATTACTCTGAGAGTGAGCTGAGATACAGTTTTGCTGGCATGTCAGCCAGAGTCTAAATTAGGGCCCCCAACTCACTGAATATAGGTCGTCAAGCAATTGTGTAATGTGTGATAACAAATTATATCCTTAGCTTACTATTGACTTGAGTTCAATTTGCACCTGAATAAGAGCTTCCTGGAAATGAGCCAACAGCCACTCTCGTCAGCAAGCAGCCTTTTAGTGACACTAGTGGACTTCCTAGCTGTCCTTGTGGGACATTATTAACACCTTAAAGCTGAGTGATATTTCACCCCTTTAATCATATTTTTTTCTGTCACTGAAGAGCAAGGCACCTTTGAAAGTGATGTTTCTTCAGTAGTAATTGTCAGGAATCTCCTGCACTTCTTCTGCTATTCTTTCTGTTTTCTATATGCAGTCTCTAGTTGGCTTCACTTTCATCTTTGGCAGAGCAAACAACTTAAAAACAAGTTCCCCTTTGCTTTCACTGTTTTTGAAAGGATTTTTCATCTTATGGGACTTTTCCTCTCTGAGTACTTTAAGTCTAATATTGGTCTCACAACCCACGCTGTTCCTCCCACCTACCTACCTACAATTGCTCATGCGCCTACTGTTCTAAGGCAGGATTTTCATTACTGCCAATGTTTCTTTTTATATAAGGAATAATTTTTGAACAGCACAACTGTGTCATATCTCCTTTATGTAATGCAAATTTATTTTCCTGGTTTTGCTGAGGTATTTTTCTTGCTATACCTTACAATCTCCCTCCTACAACATTCCTCCCATGCCACGGTTTCCATGTGGTTACAGCACATGTGTCAAATGCTGTGGTACCATTCTGAACAAAGCACATCTTGTTGTGATCTTGAAATGCACACCTCCGCTGCTCCGCTCTCATTATTCTACCAGGAAGTAAGCAGCTTTTTCTGTCTTTGCTGGCAGTATCCTCTTGGTGTTTAATCTTTCACAGTCCAGATAAACTGACCCAGCTGGGGAAAAAAAAAAAAATAAAAAAAATGTGGTGTTTTCTTGCACATTCCTGAAAAGTGGCAAAAGTTCATCTTGCACTTATAAGCAGATGGAAAATAGGTTAGCTAACTTCTGAAGAAGGTGCAGGCAACAGATAACTGACATTTCCATTACAGCTCAGCTTGGTTCAGGACATATCCCTTCACTATCTGTATGTTCCCTGGTTATGTTTAGCCTGATTTTCAGTATGCAATTACATTGCCTGTCCACACACCAACCTGTAACTTTTGAATTTGTTGGCCAGCTTTAACTAAGTTTGCTAGAGCGAATTAAGTCTGAAAGATACGAAGTTCCAGCAAACGTTATGAAGATCTCTCTGGGCAAGGCAGAGAAGGATCTGTAGCTGTCCCTTACAGTCCTTTGAAGTGGGCAAAGTAGCTGGTGAATCAGCACAAGATATTACTTGATGGCAGCATTTTCCCAGCCTGAAAGATGAGGAATGTTGAAAGGACTAAAAATATCTGTGGAGGACAAGAGGTCTAAGATCCTGTTATCATAGCTTTCCTACTTTGTTCTATCCCTTTCCTCTTCTCACTACATCCACACTCATTGCCTAAAATACAGGTTCAGATTATGGTTCCTAACTCAATATTGCTTCTACTTTGGGGGCTCAGCCACTTCAGTCTTCTGCAGTTCTATTTTTATTTTTCCTAAAATATTACAGTAGTGAAGTACAGTATTCCATTTGTGGACATTTTACATGGATTTGGGGGTATATGCAGTTGTAGTATTGTACCTTTGAACTCATATTTCATTATGTAAACCTTTTTCAGAGTTGTTGTCTCTGATCACCAGTGTATTGACAGTTTCAATGATCTTGATACTTTGGAGATGCACTGATGGAATTCATGTAAAAAGAAGAGAAGGGAGAACAGAAATTAGTTTTTTTTTCTTTAAAAATCTTTATTTTCAAGGTATTCTCATCATAGCTGTGTGTATTCCTGTCATTTATTGCATAGGTGAGTAATACTTGCAATCAGTTCCTAACTTTATTGGAGATATTCCAACAATAATATCTCAAAAGTTATGCATGTTATTTGTGTACACTCAGGCTTACATATTTTATGTGCTAACAGAAATAACATAAGTACTTTCTACTTGTATATTTATGGGAATCTAAAGATATTATTGTTTTGGAAAACTCTGTGCCATTTTTCTCAATATTCTATAAAATGACAGTAAATAATCAAGCTCAATTAAGTGGCAGAATCTGGCAGGAAACTTAACAATAGTGACAAAAGCAAGAAGAAGGAGGTAGATCTGATTTATCTGTCCTGAATTCCAACATTCCATCACCTGTTTGAGAATTGATCAGGTCAGTTCATGGCGGACAAGCCTTCAAGCTAGGGTCAACCTATATTACAAATCAAAGCTTGACAGAGTTGCAGGACCAGCTCTGGTAGGATGACTGCCAAAAAAATCCAACTACCCCATTGTTGCATTGTGATTCAGATAGAAATCCCCTAATCCTTGCAAAAGTTAAAGAAATTATGATCAAAATAGTTCTTTTAGTCTGCAAAGCTCCCAAATAGTTTTGTCTGGTGGTAACTTGTGGTGATCAGGGGAAAAGCGATATGCACACATGGGGACATCCATATAGACTGTTAGGAAGGTAAAGTGCATCATCTGGACTGAGTGAATTAATCATAGAATCACAGAATAGTCTAGGTTGGAAGGTATCTTAAAAATCATGTAGTTTCAAACCCCTT